ACGACTAGTTCTGACTTCGCCTATTCTGATGTTTTGAATATTCCTCGTATCTCTGTTGATGATGTTACGCGGGCAATTAGTCGTCTCCGTTCGACGAAATGCGTCGGACCCGATGAAATCCCGACTTTCGTCATAAAAGGTTGTTCTGAGATTTTAACTCCTCTTTTACGCCATATTTTCAACCTTAGTTTATCTAGTGGGAACTTTCCTTTGTTATGGAAGCGAGCGGCTGTTGTGCCGATTTTTAAGAAAGGCAACAGCGCCTTAGTATCTAACTATAGGCCTATTTCGATCCTTAATAACCTCTCCAAAATTTTTGAAAGCATTGTTCATGATCACCTTTCCTTTTATTTCAAATTCAAATTACACCCCAGTCAGCATGGTTTTTGTAAATCAAAATCTACGGTAACCAATTTAGTTACCTACCTTAATGATGTTCAGCCATCTGTTTGTTCACAGGGACAGATCGACTCTGTGTATTTTGATCTTAGGCAGGCCTTTGATTCAGTCCCGCATTCTATTCTTTTAAAAAAGCTTAATAATTTTGGACTATCTTCTCCTTACGTTAAGTGGGTCCAAAGTTATATATCATCCAGATCTTCCCTTGTTCTCATCTTAGGACGGTCTCCTTCTGCTTACTCGGTGTTATCTGGAGTGCCGCAAGGCTCTACCTTGGGACCTCTCTTATTTAATATTTTTATTAACGACCTTTGCGACAAAATTAAGTATTCTAAATTTCTCTTATTTGTTGATGACTTGAAACTTTATCGTGATATAAAATCGGTGAATGACTGCAAATTTCTTCAAGCAGATATCCATTCCGTACATGAGTGGTGTGATAATAACAATATGGAACTTAACATTGATAAAACCAAAATTGTATCGTTCACACGTAAAACCAACAGCATCCATTTTAATTATATTGTCAGTTATATTTTAATTTCCCGTACTGACTGTATAATAGATCTTGGTGTCTTCTTAGACACTAAGCTATATTTTCACTGTCATGTAAATTGTGTTCATTCCCAGGCACTAAGGACCTTAGGGCTTATTCGTTTTATTACTTATAATTTTTCCTCTTTAGACAGCATAAATTTTAGAACACTTTATTCCAGACGACGACATCTCGATGCGTTATTTCTTGTTAATGTTTTTAAGGGCATTATGGACGCTGTTGGTTTACGTGTGCCGGCGAGGCAAATAAGAGAATTTTCCACGTTTAGTGTGAGCAGTGCACTAAGACATAGTCCTTCAGTCATGCAAATGACGAATGTAAATTTTTGGACGTGTTTGGCATAAACATTGTTTCTTTAGAGGACACTTTCTCATTAAGAACAATGATTTAGAGAGTGGTCTAGATTGGATCCAGCTTGGTTATTTGTTTTAATTTGATTATTGCTTTTATTTTGTTTCCTTGTATTATTTTAGTATTTTTTGTTGTACTTTGCTATTAGTGTTTGCCTGTCATAGGCTCTTTGCTGTTGGCAAACACTCTAATAAAGGAATTGAATTGAATTATTACCATTAATCCGTTTATTCGTCATTCTGCAGAGTATTTACTTCTAAGTACCTGAGAAAAACCTTGTCCCTAAGGTACACAGTGCAGAAGCTATTTATAAAATACATTTTGTTTTTTAATACGTGTTACATGTATTATTATTATCATTTGTCTTATCTCTCAGTGCGATAAATATTCATAATTTCGAAGTAATTTGTAGCTACCTTAGGTTAAAATAATGATGTAATTTGTAAAATTATCTGTGTTCCATTATCCCAAACATTGCACCTGAGAACTGCCCCTCCCAAAGACTCTCGTTTTGCTCCAGAATAATACAAAGTTTTGTAAATCTTTTGGTGTAAGCCCTGGGCTTAGTTACTCAGACAATTGCATTATCACTGCCCAACCACTGATATCATAAAATAAGCACACGCGTACACAGGATAAATCCGATAAAATGTAACCTAGCATACGTATGTCCCCCAAAATTCCACAGAATTCAGGATCGCTATTCAGCACATAATAAGAATGGATTAGGTGTGGTATCTTCATGAGTCATAGGCCAATAATGCATTCACCAGCTCCATCCTCTGTTAACACTATCAGACTGCCTAATCTCATTTCACAGGCGGTTAAGGATTATGGGCCTACAATTATACAATGGATTAAAATGACGAAAAACGAAAACATTTAGTCAGATTTCTGAATAATAGCCGTGGCAAAGTGAGTCAGATACAGCTATTGTATTATCATCGTCTTAAAACGAGCGTCTTTTCAGCGCAGAGGCAGTAGACAGGAAGAGAGTTCAATGCCGGCCATTACGTAAGAAACCGTAGTGTACAGAAGAGTATATAAATTAACTACAATGAATTTTAATGACACGTCTGTGCGTTAAATAAATAATACACATGCAATTATCGAAATTAAAGAGCGAAACAAACATTTCATTTCATCGTGTAAATATCACAGATTGCTGTCATCCAAAATGCTAATCCTCTGATTCCGCGTCATAACCACACTCTGTTTGAGACACAACGCGCATGCGCAGTGTTCATATGCCATTTTAAAAATATATTCTCATATGTGAAATCGGAACGAGTCGCGGGCACAATAATCAAAACAATTTGAGTAGCAATTACGGGCATTTTTTTTTGCTAAATCGCCGCCTACTGTTCCTACAATGGAAATTCAGCGCAGAAAATATTCCCAACTATAGCAACACAAAGGAAGAACGAATTATGATACTTTTTTACGATTCTTTTTAATATTATTCTCCCTTCCACGTCTACAATTCCCAATTGATCTCGTTTATACTTCTAGACTAAAATGTTGCAGGCATTTCTGACTTCGTCTCTTGCAATTTCTTGTACTACCATCTTATACCCCTTGATTTGACTACACTAATTACAAGGCACCTGAACCAACTCACATCTATCTATACAAAATATAAGCATTGGTTAGATGGGGCATATTTTATTATTACTATTAAACAGCAGGCAACGTAAAACATAAGAATATCTTGTCAAAATAAGATTTATTCATTTGCGTTCCGAGAGAAAAGGTATTTTTTTTAATTTTTATAGAACAGGTAATCCGCGGTCGCAATGTTTGCACTCCTGCTTCGTATTCATTAAATTACGAATTCGAATCCAGACCACACGGCCGACTATCACAAGATACGTGTTTTGTTGTCTTCCTCAGTCACTACAAACAATCATTTTAATATCAAATCTAAAACTTCTTGACGATGGTGAAGAGTCAATTGAATAAAACTTTTCTTGGATATTATCCATCGTCTAGTAAAATATAAAACGTAAAACGACGTTTCGGAGATGGGACTCTATCTCCGTCTTCAGGTTCCTACACAGTTGGGCCCACTAGATAGAGCTAATCCCTATCTCCGAAACGTCGTTTTACGTTTTATATTTACTAGACGATGGATATTATCCAAGGAAATTTTTATTCGATATTTCGTCAGTAAAATTCCCTGACGTCTTAACTTCTCGCATGATTCCCTTCCGTACGAAAAGCATGTCATTTCGTGATCAGAATTCCTTTTTCCAAAGAACGCGAATGATAGTCTTTTGTTTTATCTTCTGTCCTACCTCTCCTCATACAAGCATACTCTACATCTATCCTGGTAGTGTGATGATGCCAACTTGCCTGATTAAACATTTTAATATTATCTAAACCAGGCGACGTCAAATACTTTGCACATCAATTCAGACTCAAAGATCATATCATTCGATTATGTGCATTTTATGTAGTTAATAACAAACCAAGGATCATTCAGAGTCGATAAAGGAAAAGAAAATCCACAAGACGTCCCATTAATGTGGATAGTGTGTGGGAAGATGGGTCAAGGCGCGGAGAGCCTGCCAGCCTTCGTAATGTCACAACGCACCTACAGCGTATCGAAATGTCCGATCCAATAAAACAGAACTATGAAGCGACGTCGATAAACCAAAAACTGTTCCTCGGACAGACGCCGCTGTTTCAAAGGAAATCGACGAGCTTCAGGCCACTCGTTGACTCCAGTAAATTGTGTGTTGCCATGGCAGGAGGTTCCTGCTACCTTAGAAAGTAGCACTTTCTGAACTGTGATTCTTCCTTTGAGGCATCGCCATGTAAAGAGAGAACGGGTTATCTTTCTCCGCACCAAAAACTTTTAATTGGCAGCAAAACAAATGGCTTTAGGAAACACTTTTATATTCTCAAGACATAAATCTCAGTCTTCGTACAAAATCCAATCACAAGGACCGTTAAAGTGGAAATTAGATGGAAAATATCTAATTGCTTAAAAACTTCTTTAGCTCAGTCAGTACAGTGACTGGCTATGGACTGGACTTCCGAGGTTCGATCCCCGACGGGGGCAGAGTCCATTCCCGTGGGGGGTAAAGCCGGCCGGGGCGTGGAGCTGACCACTCACCCCCATCTAGTGCAGAGGTCGAGAATGAGTGAGAGCTATACCTCCACTCCCCCCAAGCGCCTACATCGCGTATAGTGGGACAGCTTTACTTTTTACTTTAATATAATTATATTAAAAATATATAATAAGTTATTGCATACTGACTGAAAGTATCAGACACCAAACTCAGTATTTAAATGCAGACAGTGTTTTGTTCTGTGCCCTTCCTTATGATTCTTTCTTCCTGAAGATGGCAGCCTTATCGGATATTGCGCCGTGTAGTCTCCTAATATCCCATAAAACTGTCATGTTCATACTCGCCACTGTGAGCAACTGAAATGCCATTTTATCTTCCTCAGTTTTTCTCTTTATCAGATGCAAAATTGTGTAACAGGGGTGAGTAAACACCGTCTTTTAATGTTGGAGAGAAGATCAAAATACATTCAGATGAACGCTCCAACCAAAATCTTTAACCCATCATGGTACTGAGGAGTCAGCATTCATTTCATGTCTGATGTCTCTCAGTCCCAGTCCCTGAGTCGTTCCAGATCTGCACCTCGGCTCTACTCTGCTAAATTCCCTGCGTCTTTTCAGGTCTCCTGTTCCACCGAGCAGTCTTGATGAGCGGCTCAGGGCTGAGTCCTTGGGCCCTGGTAGAGAATCCGGCTCGATATGCCCAGCAAGTCGCTCGCCATGCCAACTGTTCGCCAGATCTACCCCAGCCACATCTGCTCAAATGCCTTCGCGAACGTCCGCTGGACGCTCTTTTGGCCACACCCATAGAAGCCCCAGAGTTTTCCTCTGCTTTCGGGCCCTCGATCGACGGCGTCGTTATTGACAACGGAGAGCCCCCCAGCGGTGGGGGTGGTGGGGCCAGCAGCAATGCAGACAGTTCCTCGAGATACAGTGACTATATTAGTGCCAGTGGTAGTAGTTCGGCTTCCGGTGGTATAAACTCGCTGAACAGCGTTCTCTTGAGAAAGTCTGTCGTCTCGAAGCTATCGAGGTACGACATGCTTCTTGGTGTCGTAAAGGCCGAGGCGTACTTCGCGTTTTCTGGCGAGGACGTTCAATATGGCATCGAAGCGGACAGACGCTCCAGGATATTAAGGACATTTGTGAGAAACACATACCGGTTTCACCTCTCGGAGATTCTAGCAACAATTGTGAACGAGTACACAGACTGGGAGAGGCCAGTGCAGCATCCGATAAACATCAGAGATGAAACTCTGGAGGCCCTAAGCGACGCACAAGTCGTGGCCCCTGTTGTCCACACAGCAGACCTTCATTCCGCTGCGAGAAGAAACTCCTACCTCTACGTCTTCGACTACCAGACGAAGTTCGGAGACTATCCGCAGGTAAGACGCCTCATCACATGCCAAATGCCTGAAATACTCCCTCTTATTAAAAATTTGGATGACAACTTCGTAGATGCATCTCTTCTCTTAGATGTGTTTTATTTACACATGGAGCAGACATGCTGGAACAGTAGCAGGAGGTCAGGTAAAACTTTCGAAGGGGAACACGTGTTGTTATATTGGCGACATTTTCGAAATCAGTTTTAGGCAAATATATGTAAAATACAGAGTGGTCCTCTCCATGGCGACCCCTGACTTCAGAAGAAGGAAAAAAACATTATTTTCCATCGACGTAAAATGTACGTCCCTCAGTCTCAGCTAAACTGCGACCCGTTGCTCCAAACATTCTGGAGATCGGGTTACCTCCAGCCGACAAACACTCAAAGATTTTACCATTTCACCACAACTTTTTACCCTGATGATACTAAAGGTGAACATCGGCGCATGAACAATGCGTCTCGCCATTTATACCTCAAATAAAACATTCGCCAGGATGTCACAGCCATTCCTAAGAGAATGTGACAACGTGTACTCGCTAATTTTGAGCGTCGCGTCCAGATGTGTGCGCCGAGGCCGACAAATCACGATGACGATGACTGTGGCGTGTGCCTACAACGTTTCATCGTCGTCCGGGGGAGGGTTAATGCCGACGTCTGTGGCTCTAAGGAGAAAATCATTCTGTATATAATTTACGTATATTTTGTAGTTTTATTTTTATCATAGATTAACGATTCCTGAAATGAATCCAAAATTTCATTTAAATCGATAAGAACTGTAAGCTTTGGAATGAATTAACGCAATCTGCGTGGTAACTCTCGTTTAACAGAAGTACCATAAATGCTGTTCAATCGAAATCTGCCTAAGGATTCAAAAGACATAAATCAAACTTCAAATCTTAAAATTAAGCATATCGGTTGTGTTCTTCACGTATTATTCAACTAAACAATAATTATTCCAGTCGTCACTTCAATTTCTTTTAAAACATCAAGTGTTTAGCACTTCCACCTTCCAATCAGACGAAAGTTCCTGGACCTAAAGATAAGCTACCCTGTCGTAAACTTTATTCTGTCCATTAGGATACTTCTACAGCAAATGACAGGTTATAACTCCTTCAGCCTCGTTATTTTCAGTGAATCGTACACGATATGACGCTAAATAAATTTCGCACTTGAAAAAGTATCTCCCAATTTCCTAGCAAGTACCAGTTTAATTTCAATGAGTCTGTAATCACGAGACTTTCAGTTTCAGGCGTCAGAATCATTAAGCAGCCTATTCATTGCGTGTCATTGTCTTCAACGAAGGGCCTTGCCTTGCAAGGTTTCTGTAGTGTCTTTAGTCCTATTATTATTATCGTTACTCCACTTAAGTGGGTCGCTTGTAAGCACGTCATGGTAGGGGCTTGGGGCAGGCATGAAGATAAGACCTGAAGATGTGGAGTGAAGTTATGAATGTATTGAATAAGGAGAGGATGTACGCCATGTGGTTAATAGCAGTCCGTAACAAACACTCGAAGATATTGTGCTGTCACATATCAGTGGCTATATGAAGTATTCGTGGAATTAATAATGATCAATGATAATGATAAAGATTATTGTTAAAGGATGATGATTTGTTTTAATTTAATTATACTTATGATTTTTCATTTTGGCTGTTTCCATGAGGACGAAATGATTAATAGGGTTTTTTAATTACGCTAATCTGATGACAAAAAATTTTAAGATGATAATTATTAGATGTGATTACCTGATTACGTATGTCTCTCTGTTACCTCCTTCATCTAAACCGCGCAAGTCCAGGCCAAAAGAACTACAGACCACCCCCAGAAGGGTAAACGTTATATCCGTCTGAGTGATAATCTTTTATCTGTCTGCAGTATTCCGTACTTCTGTGTGAATCCCCGCGAAATGCTCATCATGCGATTTCCTTCAGATCTCTCTCTCCCTCTCTCTAACACTGATGATTAATCATGCATCGTCGTTTATCTCTTGTTCTCATCTCTGGCGGGAGAGTGAGCTATTTATCAATACATTAGTATCTCACAGTACAAACACAGAACTGTACTCAGATACAACTTTGGTAGTAAAATGATTCCTCAATAACTATAAGCCTTGAACATAGCCGTCTTCTGGGTTGTTGCGACTTGTAGTCTGGTAGAAGAGTACCGACGTTTCAGAGATTCTTGCCGCTCCTAACATCCGGACGACAAGTAAGCAGCGCGCGAGCTATCGATTCCTCAAGCATCTCTGAAACGTCGGTAAAGTCTACCAAACTATACGGCACAACATCCCTGAAGCCAGTTATCTTCAGACTCGCTGCCGAACCTCAAATTCTAATTCTAAACCCTGCATCCAAAGTCTCGAAACGAAATAAACTGGCCCTAGGCAGAAATTAGATTATACTAGTAGAGTTGGACACTCCTGCTTGTTAGAAACTCTAAGCAAAAGTAGAGGCACCTGCTCTGCGGATTCCGTGACGTCAGAACCACTCAGACATGGTCAAAACAGAGCCATCACTACCAGTCAGTGCTGCCAAACTCCCGCAACTTGATTTCCCATCACCGTCTTCCGAAACTTTCCGTGCCTGTTTCCCCGAAGAATAGTGACCTAAGAATCGAAGTTGTAATCTCGAGCTCACAGAATAACCTGTAGACAATTTTTCCCCGTTTGGGACAATAATAGACTTAAAATATGTTTATCTGGGGCCTAGCGAAACCCTCCGCAAAAAAAAAAAAAAAATCAGAATGTTACGGAAATGAGACCCGGAACTTGGAATGTCTGAAGTCTCCATGGGCCACTCGCCTCGAAAACAGACCGACGGAATTACTAGATAGGGTAACTCAGAGTGTTTCAATTAAACCCATAGTACGCTCTGTGCAGGTAAACATTTGTCTTCCGTATTTCGTATTCACAAATTTCTGAAACAATGAGATACTTAATCACCGTTCCTTTTCAACGCCACTTCGGACTAAACTATCATAAAGTCAAAGGAAAATAGAAGATAGGCTACACTTAAATGGGACACATATCGTACCTTCTGGTCTATGCTGATGACGTAAGTTTTGGGGTGAAAACTCAGAAGCTCTATTACGTGCTGATAATGACGTTGGTCTAGGAATAAACACGCAGAAAACGAAATGCATGTTCATGTCACGTCACCGGAGTAAAGGACAAATTCGCTAATAAAACCTTTGAAACTGTGAGGAACTTAAAATATTTTGGAATGACACGAAGAAACCAAATTCGGGGAAAGGTTGCTACTATCTAAAAACGTAAATCTATAATTTTACCTTCTGATTTGTATGGGTAAGAAACTTGGTTTCTAATTTTAAAGTAAGAGCAGAGAACAAGAAAGGTGTTTGTGATCAGGGTGCTTCGGAGAATAATTGGACCCCAAGGGGGATGAAATTACAGGAATGTAAAACTTATGCGTGGATGTGAGAATAATATTAAAAAGTATCCTCGGGGGAAAAATGGTTGGGAGTTGTGATCGGGGTTCGTCAGGCTCAGGACAGGGGCCGGTGGCGGGCTGTTGTGTACACGGTAATGAACTTTCAATTTCTGTGAAAGGTCAGCTGGGCGTAAAGAAGAGGGGGCTCTGCCCCGTGGATTTAGTTATTTGGGGCGTCTCAAGTGACGTATAATGAGCGACACACAGCAGATTTTTAACTTCTGCACGTAAAGTAACCTATTGAAGGGAGGTGACCGTGAACTGATGAATTTTCACGTTCATCAGGATTACGGCTTTACAGATCTAGAAACCACTTGTTCTGCAGTACTTACTTTGCTTCAATTATTTGGTTCATTAGCTGCGCCTTCAATTGCTCAGAATGCACAGGGTCGAATTAAAGGGTGATTATTATTATTATTTAGTGTTCTGTGTGACGACAGGTCCATATGAACAGGATCCTTCCATCCTTTTCTCGGACTGGGACCTGTTCATACACGTTCTTGGCAGATGATCCAGAAGTGGTTTGCCATTGCCTTCTTCTGTGTGTGAATGGAGTAATTGTTGGGATGCCACGAAGCGGTAGGTGCTAATTGCATCCGCCTAAAGGACTAAGTAAATTCACATAATATCTTAGTCTAAATATCCGAGCTTTAAGGACGAGATTTGAACCTGTATCCTCCCGAATACGAAGCAGGAGTGCCAACCACTAAACGGCTATATTCGGTGCGTTATACTGGTAGATGTTAATCGCATGATCCAAAGTCATTCATGCGTTATTTCTGACGGTAGGCGAGCTATTTTCCATGAAGATTAAATTATTTAAACTTCTCCAAGAATAGCCGACATTTCAGAACGCTACATTATCTGCAGCTGCTACCACCCCACAAGTCTATACGCCCGCCATGTTGGTACTTTTTGTACCTACGCTTGTTACATCGGTCGGAATATTGGTTTAACATTGTGTGCCACACCTACAAATGACGTGACTCCATCGCCTGCTGGTTCGAGGGGGGAGGGGACTCAAGACACAAAATAGATCAAACTTCATCTGTGTAAAATTTATCCCCAAAACAGAAACTAGCCTATTTACTAATCTTAAGTGCAATGGTACAGTTGTCTTTGTGCATAAGCACCATTCCATGAAGACGTAGGGGGAAGTGGAGGTAAAGGAATGAATTATCGTGGAAATGTTTCAAACATTTGACTACATATGCCTAAATAGCGAAGTGACGTCGTGAAATGAAGTTTTATGAGAAATTACTGGGCCTAATTAGCGACTTAAAATTTTTAACATCGAAAACAAAATCTGTCTGTAATGAAGTCACATCATCGGTGGTTTTAGCCAGTGCGATGCTTGGATTCAGACGGCTCCCCACCGGGATACGAACCACAGTCCTTTTGCACTTATTTGGTGTGTCTTATTCTACTCTTAACAACGTCCCTGCGGCTCTGTGTTAACTCCTACTCCGAAATTTGCGTCTTAAATAGGAATGGAACAGGGTAATCCAGCAGGAGTGCAGTAAACAATTTTTCAAACGCATTCTTCCCAGTTT